TTGGTTGGATACAGTCAATACCATGAGTGCAGCATTACAACAATTGTATGAATATTTTTCTATTACAAGACCACTCGTTGTTATTGGGTTAGGAAAATATGCTGCATCGGCCCTCTTTTCAAACTTGTTGCATCATCATGGTTGTGGACATCGCTCAGAAGGATTCTCATATATCAGCACAGTTGCCTTGCCTCGTATTTGCTACTTTCTCAATAATCAATGGGTGGAAACCAGCGACACAGATGATCCACCAGCAGGAAATGCATTTATTGCTGTCGGCCATATGCATCCAGGATACGAACATTATGGCAAACGTTCAGTTGAAATGGTCGAATTGATGGATATCACGTGGACGGTGACATTGCTGGTTTCAGAAATTGTACTTGGCATCGTATTGAATGATCCATCATTGTCTCGATACCAGATTATCCAGAAAACCTGGCCACTGATTGATCCGAAATCATCCTCCATCGATAAGCGTTTATCACACCTTTGTTCTCGAGTTGAATCACTCAAGGAGGATTATCAATGTTTTTATCGTGACAAGATTCAACAGCAGCCCAAGTCAACAAGGGATGTCGATCACGATATTCAATCCGCTGCAGCATGTGCTCGTATGGCATCTTATGGCTTTGCTCAAGAAACTCCTCTTTCGGATACAAGGATGAAGCAATTGCAGAGAATGTGGAGAATGAATTTGCCTGCATTACACTTGCATATCCCAAGAGACAAAAAGGATGAATGGTTCCAATGGGCGAGTTTATTGAAGGAAGGGATATCATTGTTTGCTAGTGCTGAGCGCCATGTTGGCATGTCGATCCATCGTCCACTATGGAATTGCCTGAGACCTTTTATGCCAGCAAATACAAAAGCGGATTGGCTTGACGATGAATCCAACCTAACGAGTGCTTGTCTTGCATGGGGCGCAGCAATGAAGCTACATCTTCCTGACGACCACTTTTCATCATCGAATCAAAAACGGAGAATTGCTACGCTGGGACACCGATGATACAACCTTGTATGCATACATGCGTGTAAACCATATGAGGATTGTTACTTTATCAGTCACTCATCCGCTATTGGTACGATGAAAAGATGGAGACAATGATGTCGATGTATCGATACGATTCAAGGCAACAGTACCGCATTGGATTCGAAAAGAATGGCATTTATTTGTACAAGATTGATGAAAAGCTACATACATTTCATTTTACCATGGAGGACATCAATGCAGACCCAGCCGTTAGAAGACTCTGGAGACACGAAAGGAGTGAACAAGGACATGTGTTGGATGAAGGAAGGGAGCAAGAATCAATGCCAATTGTATTGCCGGCATTTACAGCAGTGACCAAAGCCCATAACCACCCAAAGGTTGTCAATCCCAACGATGCACTATGGCTTCTTAAGGATTTCGTCGAGAAGCAATTACCACAAGACTTGCATTATCATCTCGCACCACCAGATCTTTGGTTGTCTTGTTACCGGTCATGATTCTCCCAGCAGTCATTTAACAACTTTTTACAATCCAATCACGAACAACATCCCTACAATCGATGGTGGCTGGCAAAGATTACAGATGACACTATGAAGAAGCCAAGAATATAGCAGCCAATATCCTACATTATATCCACAAAGCATCCGAAGACAATTTCCATACATTTAAAAAAAGATATCCCAAAGATCGTAGTAATCAGAAACAATGTATAATCATAGCAATAAAGCAATAATCGGATCTGCTCGTAAATCGTTGTTTTCACCTTCGTAACCTATCACTTTACTTTGTTGGAGTAATGTTTACATTCACAATGCGGATCTATGTGTTATGTTGATTGCTGTGTTAATTGGAAGTCTATTTATATTTCAGCGACGTAGATAGAAAGAGATCCAAAGAAAGTACTGCCGTTCCTTGAATCTTCAATAAAGCGATCATTTGCTGAGCGGATCGTCGAACCAACATAACGAATGTGTATATCTTTTTCTGGATTTTGATGCAGATATTGTATCCAAATGCGTAGTAGCGGATGACTTATGAATGTAGCGTCAGGTTTTGCAATCAAAACTTGAAGAGAGCTTGCTGATAAAGTCCAGCTGCGAATGTAAATCGATGGTTGATCATGTGATACTTTTCGTATTGCCAATAACTACTCGAGCTCTGAACCAGGCACATTCCAGTTGTAATCCATCATGCAACGAATACGCTCTTTCAAGTTGTGCTGGCTCGTAGACTCCTCAGTAAACAATGTCGCAATGGCATCGCTTGTAATGCGCGAGCCGAATTCCATTTGACTCGCTCTGAATCGTTGTCTGATCGTGTCTTTAACCATTGGCAGAAAAGACGGAGTAAACGAGCTTGGATCAATATCCATGTCCTCGCTCAGTAATTGATCAATTTGTCAATTCTATACAATTTCCTATCATGAGTATGTGTACATGATCGCATTGCTCTTAGGATGAAAGTACGTATCAAATACTTTGTTCAGTTGATGATATCAAATATAGAAACAGGATCACAAATGTAAAGACATCTCGTATGATCGAGCAAGAACCTAAAATATATATGCAATGCCCTGGACAATGAAAACACTGAATAACGTTCAACATGTGCAAGCAGTTGATTGTATCATGAATCATTGTGTTCTTTGTTATGAAATATGTAGTTGACTCTTTATTCATAAAGTGTTCATGGACCTTATTGCGTTAGCATTCGCATCCTACCATTCTACATTTGCCGTTATCATTCACCATCCACTTGTGTAACAATCATGCACGGATCTTTCACTCCGAATTTTGAAAAGATACTGTAGTGCCCATAAACACATTCACTTGCACCTATCGTATTGCGCATAGTCAAGTACCAATTACTATTTATACATTAAACCTGCATCTCGTCATATCCACCAGATGGTTAAAGTATTCTTTGCAATACATACTCATGGTCGTTAACAGGACTGGATAGTAATGTGATTATATAACATGGTCAAGATGAAAGTCATATCGTGCAATACTTCTTTCTGCTATTGGCATTATAATAATGAGAGAACGCCGCTTTATTCAGAATAATCATCAGTTTCATAGTACTTGAGTGTGTTCTTTTGTTTCCTTCTCATATTTGTCTCTCGATATTCATCTCAAGCGTAAACAGCAATCCACAGACTTTGTCTTGTCCATCATTGCATACACATGAACTTTACCCACCAATCCCTTGATACACATTCGCATTTAACCCTTTACCCACCTCTCAATCAAACCCAGATAATCAATATTACAGATGATGATCACACGTGGCACAAAGAATTCATCAGACAATGGATTCGAATTATACAGGATAACAATGAGCACAACCCCTTGGCATTTGCTGCAAGGTATTGATGATAGAAGCATTTAATGGATGAAAGAGGATGATGGGTAATAATGTTGATGGCGATAATCTTGCTCTTACGTGTGTGTATGAGCTGGGCGCGGAAATGGTTGTCGACGCAAAGAAAGATAGTTGTGATCGATTGAAATGATAAAATGAGCAAGCATCTTAAGAATAATGGGTTAAAGGAACGCAGCATCATCATGTGTTGGTTGTGCGAATACAGCAATTGACGTTTGTGTGCCAAAGGTCTTCCTCTTCCTCTACATGTCATAAACAGCGTTTTAACACTACTATGCAATTGACGGCAGCTGCTGCTCTTGAGCAATGTCTCACGTTTATTCATGTCATGGCAGGCATGGTGACAAGTAAAGTCGTTCTTATGTCATTATGAGCTTGAATGAATTATTCATCTTCTTTAACTTGCAATTACTCCCCATAATACTCTTAATCCTTTTTATATGTGCTTTGTTAGGTGCTGGTTTTGGATATTGTGAAATGGTGAGTTGATTCACAATAAGTACCAAGTGTAAAGTATGGGTCTGATAGAAAGATTGTGAAAGGGTAAAAAGCATGCCACCGCACATGTCAATGCAATAAGCAATAGCATTTTTCGTTACAACACATCTCCACCACAATATGACAGGGAGAGAAATATTCACTTTTCAACTTTGACTACAAACACACAGCATGACATGCAGCAACTCAATGGTGTGAATGGCAGCTACTCTCTACATTGCAATGACAATGTACCCCATTCTGCAAGTGCACAACTCACTTTGATAAACAGCAAAGTATCGAGCAATACAAGAACCAAGTCATATCATGATCAAAGCAGGAGGAGCAAGAGAATGGCGTTTATTGAACTATGAACTACAACTACGGATATCATATGCTCAAGTGATCGATCAATTGCACGTGTCATCCATTGTGAATGAAGCAGAATGGATCTTTATGGTATCAGAAGCAAGCTAAGGTGCCAAGTGACTTTCAACAGCATAAATGCAAGAGTAGCAATACACTTTACTATCAGTCCCTTATTATAGCAGATAGATGTATATCTATATAAACACACATAGTCATCCAAAGTAATCCTTGTTCTTTCTCTTGCAGAAACACACACATACACACTAGCTTATTATCCAATGTCATCCCCGTTGTTGAACACACCAAATACACGATCCGCTTTATTGTAGCCAGGACATATGCTATATTGCTCTTGGGTTGACAATAAAAGAATGTTATAATATCAATTCCGCCATTGTGCTTGAACACCTTTTGAAGTAAAAGCCATGCTGTCACTGCATCTCAGGGTTCAATTCATGTCGTGTTTTGCAATTGGGTGGTTGCCATGGCAGGCATCGTGTCAAAGGAGTATAAAGAAAAGCTGGTCATTTTCATGCCAAGCTGCCATTCTGAGCTTGAAATCCCACAGAGGGGAACACACTCCTCCCCGGCTAATGAATTATTCACTCATTTTAACTTGAAATTACACCCCAACTACCTCACATAATATTCTCATACTATTTTCATTTCATTCCTTAGTACGTCCGCTACAATAGAATACCCATATTACTCAATCTTCCTTTTTGGGAAGGTGACCAGTTTATGTATCATCTCGTGAATTCCAAAAAGTGTCGTGGGGCTGATGGTCTAGTGGTATGATTCTCGCTTAGGGTGCGAGAGGTCCCGGGTTCGACTCCCGGTTAGCCCCTTTATGATGATTCTTGGATGGCCTGTGCTGTAGGTCTTGTTGCTTTTTGGGATTTTGGTGATGGGTCACGTGATCTATGGTCACATGACGTACGATACTTATGACTGTGTCGTGGTCAAGAATGGCTGCAATGCAAAAATAGGAGAGAAAAAGATGCTGATTTTATTTTTGAATCAGTGTGGGTATGCGTAAATTATAGAAACAATGGAATGGAAAGATGTGACCGTGTGGTATATTGTGTATGTCGTGGAAACATGAATACAAGTTGTGGCATGCAAATATGACATCCACATACATATGAAGATAAAATTGCATAAACATTATATATCCCTTAGGCATTTCAGTATAACATATATATAGCAGACATGGAGACATAGCAATAAAGTAGCGATTAACGGTCTCACTGTATCTTTCTTGGTTATTCATTTTATTGTTTTCATATGCACACCATACAAGTCATGGTGATTTCGCCAAAAAGAGTAAACAAGGATATCCGACAACACATCATATAATACTACACATGTTACGAATAAAGGATAGCTCTCTTTCTCTCATTGTTTCAGATTAGGTTTGATGATGAAAGCAGAATGGAAATGTGGAATGTGCTAGGTACTTTCCAACAGGAAACAGGAATAAGGATATGAAGAATGATAATGCCGATTGGTCGGGATAGTACTGCAAGTGCAGAATGTGATGCAACACAAAAAGAGGTGAAAGGATGATGAGATCAGACATGTATGGAAACGAGATAGCTGACTGGAGCTTTATTGCTGAACAGATGTGATATATGTAATGTGTGAACCAGATAAAAAGAGATCCAATTTACACTTTGAATATATATCATATAGGTGGATTTCATTCCCTATTGCCAATGCTCAGCTGTACAGCTTCTTCATCATGTATTTGCACTGTAATTGCCTTTGCATAATCAATATGCACCACATCCATCAATTTCCATATACAAGCAACAACAACTAATAGTAGCAATACAAGTTGATCTTTAATGAATGCAATAGGAGACCACAAGTTAGACCTTTGCACCATCATGTGAATGGGGTGGCTCAGATATCGAATGATCGGATGGTGGTGTGGAAACAGCCACTTTCTCTTCGTAATTGTTGTAATACCCATGGGGTGGGGGGTTATGATACATTGAATTGCTTGCACTGGAAACATTACTGCAATCAAAAGATCCAGATATTTGTCGTGCTTGCAAATGGGGGATATAGGGTTGCATGTCATGATAACTGTAATGATGATTTGGGTATTGAGAGGCATCAAATGAATCATTAGCATTGTATGTTACTGGACGAATGGGGTGAACTGAATTTGTTTCAGCAGCATTGGTAGCTAAAGGCATTGTCATTTCAAAATGACGAGCTGCTTCTTCACTTGGTGATGAGATAGTGGTATGTGGATGATGATCATCAAGAGGAGCAAATGAGGATGTTGTTGTAACAAGTGCAAATTCTTCACGTCGAAAAATCATGGATGATGTTTGGATATACACATATAATGCGAGTGCACACCATAATGCTGCCGTAATCACCAAACCAAGCCATGCTCCATTTTGCAGCCCTACAAGTCCCTGAATGTTAATACCGCATGCAATTTCTCTCAAAAAGAAAAACGTACAGCAACGTTTAAAGGTAATCATAGCGTCATCCACTCCATTGTAATCCGAACAATAGGTTGCCAGCCCTTTTTGGGTATGATCATGTGGTCCCCGCCATGGCGTATCTGCAAATCCTACCCAGGGGATGTTTCCAGATGATATGGAATTGTACACCAAAACTGCAATTGTAAGAGCAGCATTAACAATACTCAAGAGTCTATCAGGGCGAATGGTTTTGCGTTGAAAGGTAGATAGGATCAACACCAATGCGCATAGACATGAGAAGCCATGTGCCACATAGTATAACGTATACTAGGAGTGATAATCGTATACAAGTGAGAGTTTGTTTCCAACTTATGGGCATCATGTACCATACCACTACATACTCTGGCCACCAATCAGTAGGAGGAGCTGGATTGTCACTACTGGTTGAATGCCGATTTAATAGGCTTATCTGCACTGCTCAGAACAATAAAGATAAGCAAGAGTTTTACTCAATCTTTTGCACAACTTGCCTGCATGACACGCTAAACCAGCTCCACTCACGAGAAACAACATGATCCGGAATATAATAAGCACGAGTACTCGTGCATTGAAGAATCTTTCTGTCATGATATTTTAAGAATCGTAGTATGTACAGTATGAAGGAGAGGGGAAAAGAAGGAGTGTGTCGCGACTTCGCGTTACTTTGTATTAAAAGGTATGGGCTGAGTGCAAAGTGGCGCAAAATGGGCCCCATCATTGTTTCGGTCAGTAGCTTGCATGTGCTACAGTAATAATGATCGACAGTGTTATCCTCCCAACATCACCATGATGCTCACAATAATGTAAACCATGGTTACTATTCCACATGTTGTCAATGCAACTACTAGAAATCGATGGTAAGACCAAAATTTATTTCTCAATTCATGAATCTATTCACTATTCTTGTGCTACGATTGGATGCATGCGCCATAAGGTTCATGGATTGTTTGAACTGCATTGTATTCTTTTATTAATTTATGTGGGTTGCCTTGAAAGTGGCTAGTTACACATGTGTCTGTGTGTGTGTGTGTGTGGGGAGATGATGGATCTAACATTGTAAAACAAAGGTGGCTCATGCAGCTCAAAATCCCAGCTGACCTTTTTTCTTGTTTGCGACGCGATCGGCACCTGATCTTCTCCATTCATGGCTCCCAAACGCAGATCAAGCGCTTCCTCCGAACAAAGGCAACTCAAATCCCAGAGGCGATCATCCGGATCGAGTGATGAAGGCGTTGCTGGTAATACAAATCATGTTCATGTCATATTACAAGCTCACTCAAGGACACTTAGAGCACGTCGAAATTGTTAAAAAGGTCCAAGCTGTTGTCATTCCTAAGCTTGATCTCCCAGACATTGTAGATTCACAACCACAGAGTGCATTTTCAGCTCGACGTTCAGCCAAGCAACAATATCAACTATTGCAACAAAACCGAGAGGATCCAAACGACAAAGACGATGAGCAAGACGGTATTGAAACCAATGATGATGATGATGATGATGATGACGACGATGAGGATGATGACGAACAAATAGAGGAACAAGATGACCAAGTCGAAGAACAAGATATACTTCAGGCCATCAACTTGAGCATTTCTCAACAACAGCATGTTGAACAAAATGATGATGATGATACATTTTACTCGACACAGCCTATCAGTGCAATTGCTGCACGGCGCTTAGCTCGACAACGCCTAGCTGAACAACAACAACTAGAGCAGGAGGATAGCAACTTGGAGTCATCTACACAGTTTGAAACTGATGCTGGCGAGGGATCTCCAGTGACTGAAACTGAGGAAGCACCTGTTGTTTCGGTACCAAAAGCAAAACGTACTCCAACTAAAAAGACCAAGAAACAACCCCAACCCAAACCCAAAGAGCAAAAGAAGAGGTAAAGGAGGAGGTTATGAGTGGAAACACGTGTATTAATTGGTTGGTATAATAGCCCGGCGATTGACAAAGATACTATCTCAATATTCGAGCCATCTTCTGAGAATGTGGTGATGTTTAAAGACAATGATGAAGAGTATTTGGCCCTTGGATTACAGGAGAAAGAGGTAAATAATGGAAATCACAACTGATGAACGAAATGTTGATTAGCATTATAGTCAATTGTATTTGTTGGCAAAGCTCTTGTTGCTGTGTATCATGGTGCTGTTCGGATCATGGGCAATACATTGGCAGCAGAATCGGAACACCTTAACTTCTATCCAGTATTCTCTTTCAGAACACATGCACTCCTTCGTATCGAACCAACAACACAAATCGACAATGTTCCAACCAGAACAACTGATATTCAAGAAGATCGTCAGCCATTTGTAAATGCATTTCAAAAGCTTGAACACTTTGCAGCTGTGATTGTGATCAGGACCATGGAATGGTGCGGCTTTGATGACTTGGAAAGAGTATATGGTGCTCATAAGGATATGGCTCGAATTAACGGATACTATGGACATCGCTTAATGCCTCGCATTACTGGCTTTTATCCTATATTTGTACCCATGCATGGTGTAAAATCGCTCGATATACCCAGCACTTGGAGCGAAAATGTAAACACTGCAATTCAAGATGAAAAAGGTTAGGGATGAATGGAGTATTGATGCCTTGATCTAACATTCCTTTGTAGAGCGCGGATCGCCACTTGTTTCCGTTGTATGTGGTGTGCAGAATAGCGGGAAATCAACATTCAGTCGTTATCTTGTGAATACGCTCTTGAATAGGTAATGATGATGGCAATGGGTATGATTCTTGGTTTCTCATTTTATGATGATTAGTCACAAGCGAGTTGCATACTTGGAAACTGATGTTGGTCAAACTGAATTCACCCCAGCAGGCATCGTTGCACTTCATGTACTCGATTCTCCCATCCTTGGTCCACCTTTTACACACCAGAATTTACAATCTAAAAGATCACATTACTTTGGTGCAAAAACGGCAGAAAATGATCCCAGCTATTACATGCGGATAGTGCGACAGTTGATTAGTACTTGGCAACACGACTACAATGATCGACGAGATATCGATTTGATAGATCAAGTTCCTTTAGTTGTCAACACACATGGATGGATCCGAGGATTAGGTTACGATTTACTTGCCGGCACTATTCATATCGTTGAACCAACAAATATATTCGCTGCTCATGGAGTAGTAAATTCCTTCCCACCGACCTTTGCCACCGATATTCTACCTTCACCTGATGCAAAGATTCAGCCAAAATTGCACTACATTGAAAATCCTACATTGACTGGAGCAAACCGTGTTATCCCTCAAGTCCCATCAAGAGATTTTCGAGATTTGACATTTATCTGTTACATGCACCAAGATTTGACACACTTTGGACAACTTAATAAGCCATGGTGGAATT